CACACACACACACACACACACACACACACACACACACACACACACACACACACACACACACGTGTCACCTGAGCACCAGGTGTGTGTCAGCTTCAGCTTTACTCGTGTCCATGAGAAACCTGGAGATCAGACTTTTTAACTTGTTTCACTTCCTGTCGTCGTCCAGCCTTCAGCCACGTCTCTGAAGCAGTCTGTGAAGGATCGCCTCGGACCCCTGATGCCGTCGAACTCCGACGCCCCCCAAGATTCCAGCGGAGCCTCTCAGGTACGTGCGGACGCTCTCGTGGTATTTACCTGTGAAAATCCTCACGGGATGTTCATAACCGTTTAGTTTTCCTGCCCTTCAGAGCTCCTCCAAGGTGTCGGTGAAAGATCGTTTAGGTTTTTCTGCCAAACCTGCCGCTTCTGTTGAAAAGGTAAAAGTTTATTTTTGTTCAGGTAAAACACAATGTTGTTTTTAAATCGTGCAAACGTCTGTAACGTCCTCCCCTCGCCAGTCGCAGGTGTTTTCCACGTCCACGGGCCTCACCAAGACCGTTTACTACCCCGCGGCTCTGAAGTCGGTCCAGAGGAGCTCAGAGGGAGGTCTGAAGAAGAAAATGGTGAGGCTCGGATTGGGAGGAGGCGGCGAGCRGGAGGGTTTTAGTTTCTGATCGTCTCCTGTGGGTTTTCTCTGACAGGAAGCTCTGAAGCTTCAGCAGGACGTGAGGAGGAAGAAGCAGGAAATACTGGAGAAGCACATCGAGACGCAGAAGGTGAGAAGAGTCTCTAAGAGTCTCTGAGAAGAAGTTTGAATCCAGGTTCTTTAGTTGAGGAGAACTTGGACTGTTTTAATGTCTGACACTCAAACTGATCAGAAGAGACTCAATTAGTCCAACAGAAACTTGTGGATGTTGGATGTTTTGTCTCCATATGTCCAATCTGTCCCTTTATGACATCGTGGACATGAAAGAACTGATGTTGCAGGTTTGTATTTTGGTAAAAACCTGGTGAGATGAAATGTTTTTTCTGCAGCTCCTGATCTCCAAGCTGGAGAAGAGCAAAGTGATGAAGGCAGAAGATAAAACCACCATCATGGAGACTCTGAGCACGTTGACGAAGAGCATCACCAAACTGCAGGAGGAGATAAAGGCTCTGTCCAGCGGCATCACCCCGATACGAACCATCAAGAACAAAGCCCAGGTGGGTTAAGCTCACCTGACCCGTTGGTCTGACTCAGACTCAGAAAACTGAGAGGCTTATGTTCAGCTACTATTTTTTAAAGTTGTTTTAATGTTGATTTTTGAAAAAAAAAAAAAAAAAAAAAAACTCCAACTTTTATTAATGTTTTGGCCCCACAGGCGCAGAAAGAACTGCTGGACACAGAGCTGGACCTGTACCAGAAGACTCAGGCCGGAGAGGACACCGCTCTGTTGAAGATCAAGTACACCAAGCTCCAGATCGAGGTACTGAGTTAGACCTGCAGCCGGCTCTTCTGCCACCAGGGGGCGCTCCCGTTCACACAGTCTGGCTTGTYCTCCACAGGCGGCCAAACGAGGGCTCCTTTTGCCGGGACGAGGCCGGGGAGTCCACGGTCGAGGCCGCGGCGCCGTCCGGACCCGGKGGTCCAGGGGGAGGGGGAGGGGCGCGCCGCTTTACGCCGTCGTCGACCATCGACCTCGAGCGCTGGAGATCTGTGGCTTCACRGATGCGGACCGCGTGGACCTGCTGCCGCACTTCGCTGTAAGTCTGCATCAAACTGCAGAAGAACTGCAGAAAAACTGAAAGGTTTTGATTTGTTAAAGAACAAACACTAAATATTTAAAAAGGTTTTTTATTTATTGTGTTAAAACTGAAAAACTAAATATAAAGTTTTAATATTGTGTTAAAGCAGAAACTCTTAACGGTGCACAGCTACAGGTGCAGAAACAAACAAACAAAAAAACATGGAATATTTTGCTAACAGACACAGATATAGTTATATTATTTTTATTTTTATTAATTTGAAGCAATTCGGAGAGATTGAAGACTGCCAGATGGATGAAACCAACCTGTCGGCTGTCGTCACGTATAAGACCAGAGCCGAGGCAGAGCTGGTGAGGTTGACTTTTTATTTGAAAACACCTGTCTCTGTTTGTCTCACCTGTCTCTGTTTGTCTCACCTGTCTCTGTTTGTCTCGCCTGTCTCTGTTTGTCTCACCTGTCTCTGTTTGTCTCGCCTGTCTCTGTTTGTCTCACCTGTCTCTGTTTGTCTCGCCTGTCTCTGTTTGTCTCACCTGTCTCTGTTTGTCTCGCCTGTCTCTGTTTGTCTCACCTGTCTCTGTTTGTCTCGCCTGTCTCACCTGTCTCACCTGTGTCTGTTTGTCTCGCCTGTCTCACCTGTGTCTGTTTGTCTCGCCTGTCTCACCTGTGTCTGTTTGTCTCACCTGTCTCTGTCTCACCTGTAGGCGGCTCTCCATGGAGTCAGACTGAACAACCAGACTTTACGTCTGGCCTGGCACAAACCAGCTCCGACCGTCAGCACCGCAGACCAGGAGGAGGAGGAGCCGCCGGAGGAAGAGGTTTGTTTGTTTGTTTGTTTGTTTGTTTGTTTGTAGCTACATTCAGCCACTCAGGCATCAAAACGTTCAGCTCGTTTGGAACATTACAGCAGTGACTTTTGTTTTTTGTAACTTTTTGCACTTTGAAATCTTAAATTTTATTTACTTTTTTCTTTAAATAATTCAAAAACTTTGTGCTTTTTAAAATCTGCTTTAGTGTTTGTCCTCTGTTTGGGTCTCCCTGTGTGTCCATGTCTTCTACAAGTGTCCTTTTTTATAGTGTTTTTATTCTTTTTTTGTCTTTTCATGTGCTCTTTGATCTGWTATTAATCCCATATTTTTGTTGGTGCATTTTTGTCTGTTATTTGTGTCTTTTTTTYCCTTTCATGGTTCAGTTTTGTCTTATACGTCTTTTGAGTCTCCTCGTGTCCGTTTTGTCTTTTTAATTCTCTGTCTCGTGTATCCGTCCGTCCTGTCTCTTCTTCCTCTATAAATATTTGGACTAGTATTGAAAGTTCACTTTTCTTCGCTGATTTCAGTGAAATAATTGACCTCAGCAGGTTTGTAGAATCTGTCTGTCTGGTTAAATTAAAACTAAGAGTAATTTTTCTAGTTTATTTTACAGAACATTCATCTACAATTTCTTTTATTTTGTTTTTCTTCACATCTCGATGTGAACAGTTTTCTGTGTCAGCCACCAGAGGGCGCCATCACACATAACAGATTAAAACATTTCATTTCCTGGTCTCTCATCCTTCACTTCCTGCTGACATCTGTTTTAAACTGACGCAGTCAAAGTTGTTTTTACATTATTTCAGTWATAACCTGAGTTATTTTTTCTTCACTCAGTACCCAGAGGAGTCTCAGAGCGACGACGCCCTGCTGCAGGACGACGACGAGGAAGACGACGACAACGAGCCTCGCTCCTGGCGCCGATGAAGCCCGGTGCGACAACGACGACCCAGCTGCTTTCTAACAATCTGATGCTCATTTAGGATCAAATGAGACACTTTGTTTTGCTTTGGCTTGACTTTGTTTTTGGTTCTTTTCCTCTTCGTCTAACAAACGTAACTCGTAGAAGAACTTTAGTTTCATTTTAATCTGTAAACCAGATGCAGGAGTTTTTAATGCTCTTAATGTAGAATTAGGTTTTTTTTGTTCTCAGAATGCAAACAGTTTGTATGAAGATGTAAAAGCTGATTTTGTTTAACTCTGTTTAAAAAAAACCCACTGTTGTAATTAAATTGTACAAAAAATAAAGAATTGAAATGGTCTTAAAACATCCTGCCAACAACAAACAAAAAAAGTACAAAATGAAAAAAAAACTGTGGCAGTTTTGAAAAAAAGAAAAGAAAAAAAAAACGAGCTTGTTTGAAAAAAGCAGAAAAGACCATTTCAAAAAACAAAAAAATCTTCCTGTTCCCCTAAAGAGCTAATTCCTAAAAATTCCTCTATACTCTATTTTTCACTGAGGTAAGGTAAATCAATCACTTACGGTAAGAAAATAAAACATTTTCCCAACAAATTTATGTTTTTCAGATCATCTGATTATGTTTTTCTGTTTCAGATCCTCTGGCTTCAGCGTCGACATCAAGGCTTTTAAATTTGAAATTATCTTTTAACTTTATATGTTTTTATACTCCTGTCAATCTGTAATACAAATTATTTTTCTACAAACTCTCATTTTCTGTTGATCTTTTCTGTTTTTGTCCAAGCAGTAGATCAAATGCTAGTTAAAAGCTAATAGTAGCAATGTGTTAGCTAAAACCAGTGAAATGTTGGCTAAAAACATGGCTAGGAGTAGCAAGCTAGCAGCTAAAGGAAGGAGAAGACTAGACTAAAACTGAAATGGCTAGAATCWAAAACAGATTAACAAAAGGCTAGCTRAAAATAGCAAAAACCTAGAACACGAAAGAAGTGAATAACCAGCTAATAGCTAAAAATAACACGATGCCTGGATTAGAAGCTGAACGTAGCTGAATCTTTTGTCTTTTAGTTCAAAGAGTGGAAGAGAAACATTAAATTAAAGTRGCGAAGTGCTAACTAAAAGCAGTTAAATGTTAACTCAAAGCTAAGAGTAGCAAAAGTCTCCCTTGGAGTAGCAAAAGAATAGCTAGAAGCTAAAAGAAGGAAAATGAAATGACAGCTAGCTACAATCTAAAAGTAACAGTATGCTAGCTAGATGTAGCAAATAGAACCCCAAAGAAGAGACTAATGAGCTAATAGCTAAAAACATACCAAGCTGCTAAAAGTAGCAGAGTGCTAAGTAGCAAATAGCTAAACCCCCAAAAAATAGACTAACCAGCTAATAGCTAAAAGCATGATACCTAGCAGCTAACAGTAGCAGGATGGTTTCTAAAAATACCAAAAGTCTAGCTAAACTTTAAAGTAGTGAAAAGCTAAATGTACAAAAATGATAATTTAAAGCTGATAGCAAAGTTAGCTGAAAAAGATTTATAAGAAATAATGCTAGAAGTAGCAATACATTAAAAGTGCAAAAAACACATTAAAAATAAAATCATACAATTGTAGCATAGCTAGAAGTAGCAGAGGCTAGCTAAAAATAGCATCAGATGCTATAAATCAGGGGGGGCCCAAACATGTTCCCTGAGGAGGACAAAATTAAAATCAATCTGAGGGCAGCGGGCCAAATGCAATAATATAAGAAATGCAAATATTTCTTAAGTAAAGTTTTTTTTTATATGATTAAGCTAGCAGCCAGTGTGGTTGCCCACATTCTTGTGTTTTTTTTTTTCAGCCCATGACCTTTGAGAAAATTCAACGTGTGCTCAGGCAGCAAAGGCTCATGGGACTTTTCATAATTTAAAATTTGAGTATATGGGGTTTTATAAAGTATGCAGACATGAACTTAAATATAATCTAAATGTCTCTTGTAGTTACTTGTATTTTATGTTTAATCTTAACATAATTACAATCTAGTAACTAACYACTRGTGGACCAAATCAAATGGCACGGCTGGCYCCACTTTGGGCCCCTCTGCTATAAATGATGTCAGTAACCTGATTTTATTTGTTGTTTAGTAAATTTTATTCATTTTCATTAAAAAATACTATACATACAACAAATAATACAAATCATAAATAAAATGAAAGGTAGCAGAAATAAAAAAAATCTTAACATCTGCTCCTTTTTTCAAAAAAAATTTCTAACAATAATAATCTTAAAATAAAAAAATAATCTTCTCTTTTGAAGAGAAAGTTTAATATTTTTGAAACATAAAACCAGTAGCATTGTTTATAGAGAGAAGTAACAKATATTTGTAACTGCTAAGATTGACTAAGCGTGGCGGCCATCTTGAATCAGACTAAAAGTTGCTCCGATACTTTGAGCATTTTAACAAAATGAACCCTATAGTATAGTTCATTAGATATTTTGCTAACATACAAATACATTTTTGTTTGTACATTTTGGCTGAAAGAAGAAAGGGATATTGGTATTCCACTTTCAGAGATCAGAGGGGCCTCAAAYAAGGCAGAACAAATAACCCAATCAGTGACCAGCGGTTGGTGGTTTGTGGGCCCCCCTCCCGGCGCCTGTCACACTCACAGAGATAATTGTGAGGAATCAGATTTGCTTGTGTAAAAATATCTGTTGTTCATCACTTCAACCTATGAGCCACACCAAAAATACTTCCCCTCATCTCTTTGTCTGCCAGCGGTGGTGCCGGGGTGTTAAATGCCYCCTCCTGCCGCCTCATTTACCCACCGCGGTGCCGCCAAAACCCAAAGCACGGCCGGATTCTGGTTGGACAGGGAGCTGAAGTCGTGGCAAAACCCTGGAGGTTTAAACCGTCACGTGGCACCAATTATTGCTGTTTAGTTTGTGTGATGGAGAGTAACGATGTGGGGTTCTGTCGGAGGCCAGCCTCGGTTAAACTTGGGACCAGCAGGCAGAAACCTCAGAGCTCGGCCCCCCCTTTGGGTCCCAGTGTGGGGGAAAAAAATCTTGTTCTCAGCACGAGCTGTGAAAATATGGGATAACAAGTTTACGGCGTCTGTGCCATCAATTACAGAAATCCTTACATTCTGATTTGTGTCAAAGAGACAAAYGACAGGAAGTTTTGAGACTGAAGGCAGATGATGTGTGTTCATTCGTTTCACATGAATCACAAAACAGACTTTAATAAAACTCACAGAAAAGGATCACTCTGTGCAGAGTTGTAAAGTAACTAAGTACAAATACTTTGTTACTGTACTTTAGGGTTTTTGAGTATCTGTACTTTAC